AACAATGACATTGTCTTCTCCTGAAATTTCACCTGCTTTGTCTCTTGAACACCTTGTGAGTCACCTGTAAGCCACCTTGTGAGATTGCTCAACGCTGGCTGACATCCTCTCTACATCAATTTAAAGTGCCCACAACTGTGTGGAAGGTGCTCTGGTATCTAGGATATTTTTAAACGTGGCAATGGGTTTGAGTGGGCAAAGATGCCCAGGTCATTGAAGCTATTAAAAAAAAAAAAAAAAGAAGGAAGAAAAGAAAACCTCAGGCATTTTAATATGTTAAATACACAACCAATTATTAATTCTAAAGACTTCAACAAGATCAGCCAAGATAAAACTTTTTTCACCTTTTTCCCCCTTCTCAGAAACATTTAGACCTACCCTATGGCAACAACTATCAGGAAGTCTCTACCCTGTGTATCAGGATAGCACAAATAATTCAGCAAAAAAAGCAGTGCAGTTCTTGTAGCCTGGCATTAGGATAAGTATATCTTAAAAAAGTTCTTATGCAGACTTGGCTTCAGGCAATAAAACGTCATAGATGTATAACTGTAGCAAGTGAAATTTCTAGGGAACAAATTAGGCTGCAAACATCTTCTGGAGACGGCAAGAAAGGAATCGTACACTATCCCAAAATAAGGCAAGTTATGCAGTAAATGTTTCATTTATTGGCCTTCTTCCATTATTATTAGGGCTAAAAGACATCTTGTCAATAAGAAAAGTATATTTACGGAGGACTGATGTCTTTTGGAAAGCTGTTCCTGTCACAAATGCCTATAGCAGTAGTGATCAGTGTATGAAAGCAGGTGGTGAGGCCCTGCATGAATGCATACATCTCCCCATTAACCCCTTGATCATCAGTCATCATTGTCACTTTATTGCCTGGACCTGTTATTAGCTGAAGCAAGGCGATCAAGCCAGGTACTTCAGAGAAATGTCAGAAGAGTGTGGCTCAAGGTTTTAAGAGGAGGGTGTGTGTCTTTCTAAGTCCCTTGACAGAATTGTTCCAGGAGAAAAAGGATGCCTGTGAAGTGGGCCCTTTGGCCTACCCCTTCCTCCTGCTAAAATGGAAAACTCTTGGATTTTTAATGTTCCCATGTTGGCAAAGCAAGGCGCTTTCCCCAAGGTCCAAATAAGAAACCATCACCCACGCAGAACAAAAAGCAAACAGAAAAATCTCACAGTGGAATCAGGACTTTGGCTTCTCAACATTTCCCCATTTTATAGCTTCCTTGTGTTTTCAGATTCTTTTTTTGGCTTCCCTCAGTCAGCACACTCCCTGCATAGATAAGTCTAACACAGTGGGTAACAGATCATCCATCTTGGAGCAGGGATCTTTAAAGGAAAACTGCACAGGAACAGAAGTACACACACACACATCCCTGTCGAGGGTAATTTAGTAGACTCTTGCCCAGTGATTGGGGGAGCTGAATATGACTGTCAGCATGTATTTCCTCCTGGTAAGTCTGAGCAGACTATCCTTGTTTTTTCTAAATTCCAAAGTCAGCCTTCAACATGGTTTGTCTCCTTTACTGGTGTGCTGTGAAACTCTTGGCCCTAACTGGGGTGTGGGAGGAAACCAGAGTCACGGACTCTTTGAATATTAAAAAGCACATAGAAAATATTCACCTTATTCACCAGGTGAAGGGGCCACAGGTAACATGGCATATGGCCAACCTATTTCTCCAGTTCCCACCAAGCACATTCCCATATTTTAGTGGGTGCCTAACACTCCACCATAATTTCCCCATAGAGAGCCAATACCAAAATGTAAATCATCTTTTATATAAACTGTAACTTCCTCTTCACACTCACTGATACATATGAGCAAGGAATTACCTGGGGTAGAGGTGATCTAGTCACTTAAGTTTTAAGGTAAAATGAAGATGACTGATATCAACACTTAAGTTTCCACAGAGAAAGCGCTAAGGGAAGGAAGGCTGAAGAGGAGACAACAGAAAAGTGAAGAAACAAGAGTAGATGAGGAGGAGGAGGAGGAAGAGAAAGAAAGGCTGAGGGACAGTTTCTTATAGTTCAGGACCAGGACTGGCCCCAGAAAGGGGCTTCAAAAGATGAGGGCACAGCTTCTTCCCCATCCTGCCCACTCCCATATGCAGAGACCACGCTGGCCAAACCCTTGCAAGGCTCAGGCTAGCATCAGAACCATCTGGTGTTCTCCCTATGGTTTCAGAATCTCTGTCATTTGGGCAGAACCCAGTCCTACAAACTTAAGAGTTGTCATTGCCTAGGGAGAAGTTGCCTTCATACTTGGATCAAAGCCAACACTATTTAAGATTTCACACCAAATCCATAAATTATATGTCCACATTGGGGGCCAACCTGACTTTTCTTTCTTAAATATTGAATTACCTTGCTTCTTGCCAAGTGCACGTCCAATCCTGCCCCTCTTCCATCTGGGCATGACTGTGAGCCCCTCCAGAGACCAGGGGTTATTGACCCTCTGAGATCTTGTTGATCTTCCAAAGTGTTTTCATAGCACTTAGCAACGAAATGAAATGTGGTGCTTATGCTAGCATGGAATAAGTTTTAATTGCTTAATTAAATCAGAGATTTAAGGGAGGAAAGACTCAAAAGTTCCCTTTGAATAAAAAAAACAAATGAGGATATGTCAAAATGGATATTACTGAACATGGGAAGAAAGCCTGAAGTATTGACATGTGATAAAAATGCAGGCCAGACACTAAAAACAATAGGGACACTCTTTAAAATTTCAGTTTGGCCTATTTATGAGCTTTTATTATACAGGTAGTCCTGCAAAGCACATAGAAGACCTCATTATCCAACTTAATTCAGATCAGTTTAGGTTAAAAAACAAAACAACTTAAAACAAAAAACAAGTCCACCTATACAGGACAAAGAAATTTGTCATAAAAGTGACTGACTATAAATATGTTCCAGTTTATGTAAATAAGCTCTTAAAACAGATCTTAGGAAAAGTCTATGCTTTATATAGACAAACTTAGGCACAAATATACAGGTGACAATTAGCAAGTGGGTAATGCTATGGTCATTTTGGCTAAATGTGTAAATCTAAAGTGAAAAGACCTAAAAAAGGAAACTGTTAAATCCATTTGTACATGGGTTTAACAGTGAAGCATTTCATTTTTCACGTTTTTACTTGGTATCTTGAAATAATCCCTTTTCTGTCTCACTCACCAGCTTAGACTCTGCGCCTGCCTTATTTATTTATGAAGTCTGAAGGTTAGTCCTACCTGCTGAGACTAATTAGCCCTGTGCTTTGTATCCTATGCAATCCTGTCTGATTAAATGTACACATTTGTTTTACTTCTTTTCAGGCTCCTTCTCACTCCACTTGTGATATTCTGATTAATATTAAAGTTGGGAGTTACAGTGTTTTTCCTCTGTCTCCCTCCCAACCCATTTTTATTTTACCTGCATCTTACTCTTTAGTGTGCAAATTCGGTTGTGAATTTTCTTCAGCGCTGGGGAATTCGTTGGCCTTGTCAATCTCGGTATCATTATTTTTAGCAGTCTTCTTTCTGAGACCTTAGCCTATAAAACAGTTTTGCTGAAAACCCAAACTCTCTAAATAGTATATAGTAAATTTGCTTTCTTTTGGAAATGTAGGTTCTGATGGGCCAGCTGAAGTTACAGGTGAGTTTTTTTTTAAGGGAAGTGTTGTTCCTAATAGGCAATTTGCTAATTCCTATTGATTTTTTTTTTCCTGGTTCTTTTTGTCCCCCTTTTCATGTTGTTTCCAGTCCATTTCTCATTTGGATATTTGCAAGAAAAAGAATATTCTTGCTCTGTCATCCAGGAACACTGTGTTTTGGGATCTAGGCCTTTGTCTTTTAACACAATTCTGTTCACCATTTACAGCAAATCAATCTGCTTGCCTGGTGTGTGTGTGTCTAACACTCAACAAATACTCGTCTCAAATCTCAGGTTTCCCACTTCCTCCCTGAGGTCTTCCACTCCAGCTTGGTTAGCAATCTCCTACTAGGAGCATCTTCATCTTGCTATTTGGTCAGTCTTTAGGGATTTCACTTCAGACCCCCCGGGGAGAAAAACTCCAGCCCCACTGATCTCAGGGCTTGGTGAACTTTCAGTTTTATTTTCCCTGGCGCTGTTAACGCCCAAACTTTTCACCTCCAAAGTCAGAAAGGACTTTGATTCCTAGCTCACTTCCTACCACCTCCAACGTCAGTTAAAAACCAAAACACTTTACATTTGGAAGAATCATATATTTTTCCTTAAGGATATTTGTAATGCCCCTGACAAATCCTACAGTGTCTGTTTTTTGGATAAGAAGTCATCTTGGCATCTTTAACCTAGTGGGACTTTACATTTAATGACATGATTCACTATTACTAAACACAAAAGGGAGGGGGAGACGTCGTGGGTTAATAGTCTCTTTCACTGTAGATGACCAGGAACTTTGTCCAGCCCCTCCGCTTCCCAAGCTCTCACAGAGCCCGGGGGTGATCTATGCTTTTGCCCACTTCTGTTACATCCCGCCCTATGGCGGCCCATTTCACTGCGGGACTAACCATTAAGCACCCCCTCCCCTAGTCCACCACACTCCCCTCCTTCTCCCCTTCCCTAAGACTTATTTCTAATATTTCTAAAGCGCACTTTTCTGGGCCTCTCCCCATCCCCGCCCCCCAAGTGGGCTTTCCTTCCGCCTTCCTCGGCTCAGATTCCCGAGTCGGTCGCCACCCCTTTCCCCTCCTCTCCCACTCCGCATTGTCTTTCTGAAACCGCCCCTCCCGGAGTGAGTCCCGCACCCTGCCCGGACTCCCGGCTCGCGCACTGCGCGCAGGTCCCCCGCCCCCCCATCCCCCCCGCCGCGCGCCTCCCGCGTCCCCCTCCCTCCTCCCTCTCCCGGCGCCCGAAAGGATCATTGTTGGCCGCCCCCGCCCCGCCCACCCCGGCTGTTTATTTATGCACACGTCACCGGGCCGGCCCCGCCCCCCGGCATCTCATTAAGGCGAGTGTGTTCCTCTCGCCCTGTCAATAATCTCCGCTCCCAGACTACTCCGTTCCTCCGGATTTCGATCCCCCTTTTTCTATCTGTCAATCAGCGCCGCCTTTGAACTGAAAAGCTCTCAGTCTAACTTCAACTCACTCAAATCCGAGCGGCACGAGCTCCTCCTGTATCTTCGGCTTCCCCCCCCTTTGCTCCTTATATCTGACTTCTTGTTGTTGTTGGTGTTTTTTTTTTACCCCCCTTTTTATTTATTATTTTTTTTTTTGCACATTGATCGGATCCTTGGGAACGAGAGAAAAAAGAAACCCAAACTCACGCGTGCAGAAGATCTCCCCCCCTTCCCCTCCCCTCCTCCCTCTTTTCCCCTCCCCAGGAGAGAAAGACCCCAAAGCAGAAAAAAAGTTCACCTTGGACTCGTCTTTTTCTTGCAATATTTTTTTTGGGGGGGCAAAACTTTTTTGGGTTTTTTTTTTTTTTTTGGCTTTTCTTCCTCCATTTTTCTTCCAAAATTGCTGCTGGTGGGTGAAAAAAAAATGCCGCAGCTGAACGGCGGTGGAGGAGATGACCTAGGCGCCAACGACGAACTGATTTCCTTCAAAGACGAGGGCGAGCAGGAGGAGAAGAGCTCGGACAACTCCTCGGCAGAGAGGGACTTAGCTGATGTCAAGTCGTCTCTAGTCAATGAATCAGAAACGAATCAAAACAGCTCCTCCGATTCCGAGGTAGGAAAAGCCCCTCGGGCTGGTGGGGTTTTTATCTCTTTCCTGGGTTTGGCAAATGTGGCTGGAAGGCGAGAAGTCGGGGCTGGGGGCGGCGGACGCCGCGGGCCGGGCAGGCGGCGTGTGCGCGCGGGGCCACCACTGCAAAAACTTGTAACCCTGTTTTTCTTTCCCCCACCCCCACCCCGCCGACTCTGTTCCCCCCGTACCCCCTTCTGCGTGGCGTTTGCCCCTCGCCCTCCCCACCTCCACCTCTCCGGGAAGGCGGAAAGACGGCCTCCGCCACGCTCCGAAAGTTTCCGAGATAAATCCCGGGAAAGTTTGGAGGAAGGTGAGTACGCCCCGCGCGCCCCCAGTCGCCCGAGCTGTCCCCACGATCGGGCCCGCGCGCCCCGGCCCTGCGCCCCGCTCGGCTCGGCCCAGCGCTGGCCCGGCCGGGGCGCGCGGCCCCTCCGGGCACTTTCTAAAAAGTTTCTCCTGCTTTCTCCCGCTCCGCGCGGCCGCCGGCGTCCCCTCGCTGCCCCGCCATGTTAGCCGCCAAGAGGCAAGATGGAGGGCTCTTTAAGGGGCCACCGTATCCCGGCTACCCCTTCATCATGATCCCCGACCTGACGAGCCCCTACCTCCCCAACGGATCGCTCTCGCCCACCGCCCGAACCGTAAGTGCCACTGCGCGCGCCCCCGCCCGCTGCCCGCCCGGCCCCGCATGCGGCCCCTGCCCTGCCCCCTCCCCTCCCCCTCCCCCTCCCCACCTCTCCCTCCCTCCTTCCCCTCCCCCGCTCGTGGCCCAGGCAGCCCGAAACTCTCCAAACTTCTCTGCCTTTTGTGGACTGGATTTGTTTGCACTTCGCCATGTTCTTGCTTTCAGTTTGCTGCCTCGCGATGTTGGGGAGCCCTTTCTTTCCAAGCAGGGCTTTGTTGGGGGGAAATCAGAACTTTTTTTTGCACTCTGATTTTCCCCCTCCCCCTTTGGTGGTGGTGTTTGTTTCTTCACCCTGGGAAGATGACTGAGTGGCTCTTTCTTTTCTCTCTCTCCCTCTCTCGCTCTCCCTCTTCCTTCCCTCTTCCGTGGCGTCTTGGGTTTTCCCCGGTTAACCCTTTGTCTGCTGCTGCGGGGCACTGATGACGGGTTGCGCCCGAAGCGCGGGGTGCCGAGTGCATTTTCCTCCAGGCGTTGCACTTGAGAACTAGCGAGCGCGCAGAGCCGGGGGCCTTGGAGAGGTGCCTCGGCTTTCTCTTTCGGGCGGTTATTTAGCTTTCTAGTAGTGATCACTTGACTCTCAGGCCTCCTTCCTCCTCCCCCTGGAAGGTCACATTTTCCAGGCTGGTCCCATCGCAAACTTGGGAGCTCTGGGAGCCGTTTTCTTTGGCAACCATGCAGGGCCGCGAGCGCCCAGGGTTCCGTGGCGGGCTCGGCCGCCGGACGCACTGCTACGGGCTCTCCCGGGCCGCGCGGGCAGCCGGGCTGTGCGGGGTGGGGAGGCCCTTGTGACCGAGGTTCTTGATTTGTGTGCAGCCGGCATGGCCTCCTCCGAGCGGACCTGAGGAATTTCTAGGGAAATTTGCTGCCTTGGGGTGTGGAGCGGGGTCTGCTTTCATCAGTTCCCGAGAAGGCCCTCAATGGACTCTGGAGGGGCCAAAGAGACCAGGGTGTGAAGGCTCAAGGGGGTGCAGGGGTTGTAGGAAGCCAAGGGTGTCTCCTGCAGAGAAGTGGACCGCTGATCTCAGGCCACCCAACTTTAGGGGCCCCAGGGCAGCACTGGGTACTAGGTTCCCGGGGACGCTTCCTGCCGCGGGTGTCCGGCACCCTCCGCTGACATTTGTTCGTTCAGCTCACGCTCATTCCCTCCCTCCACCGGCCTTTGCCTCCAGTCCTCACCCTAAACCCCCTCCCCCATCCCACTAGCCTCTAAAAAGCCTGGATTACAAATCTCGACGCGCTAGACAGCGTTTGTGCCCAGCTTCCCGCGACTGTCATTTTGCACCTTCTTTGACTTGGTTCTTCACCTCGTATTTACATACGCTACCTTTGTTTTTTCTTTTTTCGGTAACTCAAGGTGGCAATTTGAAATAATGCACCCACTGTTCAGCAGTGGTGGCTTGGGTGCTCTTGGCCGAGGGTTTTGCCGGCTGGAGCGGATTAGATCTACAAGTGTTTTAAGCATTAAAATATTAACTATCAGGTTGGACTTTTTTTTTTTTTTTTCTTTTTCCTTTTGGGTCCTGGCAAAATGGCAAGGGCATGCTAGATCGGTCATATATATATATTTTTAAATGGTTAGTAGAGAAAACGAATTATTCTGCCCCCCCACCCCAGCGCCCAGGCGGCTCTGCCTGCTTGGGAAGCTGAAGAGTGGTTCAGCCCGCGCTTTCCGGCTGCAGGGGCCCGGCTGTGGGTTTGCAGCCGTAGGGGACGCAGTGTCCGGTTTTGTTTTTTTGTTTTGGTATTTTTCCTGCGAGTTTGTGGGCATCTTAAAAGGGACTGTGGGGTTCACAATCGAGTGTTCAGTGTAGTAACAAATCAATCGGACCAAGTAATGGAAATTTCTCCCTTTCCTACCATCCTCCCCAGAATGGAAATCTCCTTACTGTTATTTTAAAATCCATTTAGGTATCTGAATATTGAGCTTTGATGGCGGGGCTTGTTGGCTTTCTTGACTCTTCACATTCCACCTCATGACCGCTGGCAATCTTGCCTTACCATAGCCTAAAACTTGAACAGTTGTGTTGTGCTGTAATTAGCAAACAGGGAAATTGTTAAAGACAAATAAATGATTTCCTGGTGAGAAAAGGAAGGCTCCCAACCCTCGGTCCCCTTTGTGGGCATTATAGGAATAGACGGCGTCTAGTTATTTTAATTGTGGACATAGCGGGTGGCCCTGTGCTGTGACATCAGATGGAGTCTAAGAAGACATTTCTGAACTCAGTAGGCAGTTTTAGTATTTGCATGTCAAACACCAGTAGACATCTTTGTGTACACTGCCTCTTCCTCCTTTTTTGTTACCTGAGTTAGATTACGGCTCCTGAATTAAAGTGACTTCTTTAGGCTGGTAAGTGGAGCAGAGGCAATGCGCACCGGAGGCTGTGGTGTATCACTTTTGACGTCTTCGATCTGAGGGCCAGCTTGCAATTCCAGATTTGTTATAGTTTCCGGAGGAATCCACAGGCGAGAGAGCCATCCTTCCACGCTCATTTGAAATTCTCAGTGCTTTCTAGGGTTTGTTTTTGAGGGCAAGGTGTAAAGACAGACTGTGGTCTGCTGGATTCTCTTCCTAGTCCTCGTTTTGGGTGCTTTTGCCCCATTTTCTGTTCCTTATGAGTGTACCTGTAAAACAGCTGCATCCTTTCAAAAGCAAACTTCTGGAACCCTGGTTTCTGCTTTTTCTATTTAAGAATGTAAAGAATTAAGGAGTATCATCAAATCGGCTTATGATGAATAATACATTATTTCAAGAATAATGCTTTAATTGCTAAAGATGCCATAAAGCTTGATAGTAATAATTTTGTTTTAAAATGACAAGGATTTCTGCATAACATTAATGTAGTCTTTAATACAGTAATAGGAATGACTCTTAAAAGGACAGATTCAGATACAAAAATGCATTTAAGGAGAAGTCTAGTTAAGTAGATGAGAAGGGTTAGAACTGCAAATATTAGAATTATGGTAACATTTGTATACTAAAGATAAGAATACTGTTACATATTAAAGTTGATAGGAAAGAGTAGTTTTACATTTCTTTTTCCCTCCTGGCAAACAAGAAATAGGGTTACAGTGGTGAAAATTCTAGTTAGGTTTTTTAAGGACTCTGTTATTAGAATTGTTTGCATCTTCTGTTATCCAAAGTTGTGTGCTTTTCAACTGAGCTGTTTGCTACTAGGCTGAACAGATAAATAAGCAGCATCTTGAATTCATTTTTGAACTTGGAATCCAGCTTTTAAAGGAAACCAAGAGGGGCCTATTCATTGGGGTTTTAGTTAGCCAGGCAACTTCTTCTCTTTCTGGCTTGTGAAAAAATGGAAGTTTTCTCCTCGCTCAAACAATATAATCCTTTTTAATACAAAAGATTGAGACCTTGGAGTGTGAAGGGTTAATATTGGTCCTCCCCTGTTGTCTTCCCACCCCCCACCTTCACCCCTGATTGTTTTGACAACACTTTTCAAAGTGTGACATTCCAAGCTCCTACATAACAATGTAATATTACTGTAATTACACAGGTCATTACATTTTAAATAGAGAACAATAAAATGCTTATCGCCCTGAAAAAGAACAGGTGTTCTTGCTCTTCTTTGGTCTTTACGCTAATTGTTTTTCATCTCCTTCAGAAATATTTATGGCGAACATGTTTAGATTTCAATCTCAATGCAACAGTATTAATTCCGTGCTAATCTTTATAGGTTGGGGTTTAATGTCTGCTGTATGGATTATGGTTTCAACATTTACCCAATAAGTCATATTTAAATGATTATAAATTTAATATGCCAGCACTTGGCAGTTTGTGGATATTAAGGCTTTTTGAAGCCCCAGAAACAAACTCTTAGCAGTTGGGAGCCTAAAGTACTTGTCTAAAAGAAGCGTTTTTTTTTTTTTTTGAAAACTTTCTAACTGCTTAAGTAAGGGAAGTAGTTGGCTGATACCCCCCTAATCTCTGATGGAGAAAAGATTTTTCAGGCAAACAGTCCTGGCTTTTGCTTGGAGTTTTTCACCTGCATTTTAATTTTACTGATAGGGATTTCATGTGGAATCACTGCTGGAAGTTTGCTAGCTTTCTGTTTCTTAGCAAGCTGTAAAAGAGTTAGGGGAAGGTTTTTCTTTTTGTGAGCTTACAGATCAAAAATGCTGTTGTGTTCCCAACGCAGGATTATGCCATTAAAAATATATTTGTTTTAGCAAACTGGCATTTTAATAGTTGTACCAGAGGCTCTGCCTTCCAAGATTATAGTACAAGTGTTTCCAGGATTTGAATGCTTTCTCTCATCCCACAAGGTGCCCGGCTACACACAAAAAGTGCCTAGATTTCTCAGTTGAGAAATCCTGGTGCAACTTCCCTTACACACACGCAGTGGGTAAACTAGAAGGTATCTAAGAGGGTTTTGCGTTTTGTCAGATGTTTCACAACAGGGGCCCCTGAATCACATTAAAAAATGCACTGCAGAGAAAGGACAGCTGCAAATTTTTGTGTGGACGCATGTTTCTGGACCATGACTAAAACTCCTAGGACCTTTTCCCCAGCTGTCTGGAAGTTATGTGGAAGTTGGTTTATTGGCAGTTATGTATGACACAACCTGGATTTAGCAAATGCTCTCTCCTACACAGGAAGTAGTGATATTATATTGGGGGGAAGGGAGGAGGCTTCAGGCAGGGAGCAATTTTATAAAAGAAGAATCTTGGAGGTGCCAAATAAATAAGCACTTTCCAAGGAAGTAGGTGTAAGCTTTTTAGTTTTGGTAAGTGGAATTAGATAGTATCTTTGATTGCATTTATAACTCTGGAGGTGACACAGTTCAGGGTTTTGTAAAGGAGGGGTTTTATTTTTGAAGGGTGTGTATGAGGTGAATGTCTGAATTTCTTCAGGGAGTGGATATTGACAATCTTGTAAGTAAATCTTCAACTTGGACTTATAATTCAGCACATTTGTGAAGGAAATGGTTAATTTTACAA